GGCCGCGGACCGTCGACCCGACCCCAAGAGGGACGGACAGGGGACCGACCACGACGACGACGACGACGTCGACGACGACGGCGACGACGACGACGTCGACGATGGCGACGACGAGCGAAAGCGAGAGCGAAAGAGAACAACAGCAGGGCCGCAAGGACAAGAAGTAGGCCACGAAGGGCAACAGCGGGGACACGAAGGGAATGCGTATGGGGCCACGAAGAGCGCGAACGAGCGGGGGCCACGAAGGGCAGATAATGCGGGGCCACAGAAGGCAACCATGGGGCCACTGAGGGTAGCAACTGGGCCACGTAGGACATATGCATATGGGGCCACCACGGGCGCGAACGAGCGGGGGCCACGAAGGGCATACATAGATGGGGCCACGAAGGGCAGCGAGGGGGCCACGAAGGGATGCAACTGGGCCACGAAACAAAGCGAGGGGGCTACGAAGGGCATACATATATGGGGCCACGAAGGGCAGCGAGGGGGCCATGAAGGGATGCAACGGGGCCACGAAGGGCTGCGAGGGGGCCACGAAGGGCTGCAACGGGGCCACGAAGGTCAGCGAGGGGGCCACGAAGGGCTGCAACGGGGCCACGAAACAAAGCGAGGGGGCCACGAAGGGCTGCAACGGGGCCACGAAAGACAGCGAGATCCCGATTCCTATGTTATCTGTGAGGGAGTCCTAAGCGTGAGCGCGACTCCTGCGTGCCTGGGTGTCGGGAGCGCGGCGCTTGAGTAAATTGCAAGAAGTTCCAACGCAAGGGCGCTCGCTATTCTTGAAATCGCCCTCTTCACGTTTACTCCTCGATCCCCTCTCCTCGATCCTCCTGGATCAATCCTCCTCCTACTACTACTCCTCCTCCTCCTCCTGTCGTCCTCGTCCTCGTCCTCGTCTCCGTCCTCCTCCTCCGTCCTCCTCCTCCTCCTCCTCCTCCTCCTCCTCCTCCTCCTCATGATCATCATGATCATCATCACCATCACCACCATCACCACCACCATCATCATCATCATCATCATCATCATCATCATCATCATCATCATCATCATCATCATCATCATCATCATCATCAGCAGCATCATCAGAATCAGCATCTTCACCATCATCAGCAGCATCATCAGCATCATGATCAGCAGCATCATCATTATCAGCAGCAGCAGCATCATCATCAAACTCCTCGGCAGTCGACCCCCCTCCTCCTCCTCTTCCTGCTGCGTCTCCTCCTCTTCCACCCTCTCGATCCTCGATCTCCTTGATCCTCCTCCTCCTCCTCCTCCTCCTCCTCCTCCTCCTCCTCCTCCTCCTCCTCCTCCTCCTTGTCCTCCTGGTCCTCGATCTCCCCTCGCCCCTCGCCTCCTCGCCCCTCCTCCTCCTCCACCTCCTCCTCCTCCTCTTTCTCCTCCTCCTACTCTCCTCCTCCTGGTCCTCGATCTCCCCTCGCCCCTCGCCCTTCCTCCCTCGACCTCCCCTCGCGCCCGCCCGCCCGCCCGCGGCACCTGCCGCCCGCCGGGGGCCGCACGGCGACGGGCCACCGGCGGCCCCGCGGCCCTGGCGGGGGCCAGCGCGGCTGCGGCGCCCGCGGCGAGCGCGGCCAGCCACGGCGGCGGCGCGCGGCCACGGTGACGACGACGACGCCGACGACGACACCGACGACGACGACGGCTGGACGACGACGACAACGACGACGACGACGCCGACGACGACGGCGGCGGCGACGACGACCACGACGACGACGGCTCAACGACGACCACGACGACAACGACGAAGACGACGCCGACGACGGCGGCGACGACGACGACGACCACGACGACGACGACGACGGCGGCGACGACGACGACCATCACGACGACGACGCCGACGACGACGGCGGTGACGACGACGACGACGACGACGACGACGACGACGACGACGACGACGACGACGACGACGACGACGACGACGACGACGACGACGGCGCCGAACGACGACTCTGACGAAAAGCTGGGGAGGCACCTTGCTGGCCATCGCTCGGATGACCATTCCCTGTGCTTTTTTCGGTTTCTTGCGTGGTTTTTTCGCCAAATGATGAAGGATGCTCCTCGATGGCCCTCGCCGAAGGAAAAATGCACACGTCCGAGCGATGCCAAGCTTGGGCCACGGGCACCTTCAGCACCCCCCGAGAGAGAGGAGAGGGAGCGAGCGCGAGGGGCGACTTGCGAGGCAGCGCTGCGCGCCCTGCCCAGAGCGGGCGCCGCGCCCCCCCGCGGTGCGGCCCCCGCGTGCCGCAGCAGCCTCCCCGAGCGCGCGCGCGCTCGCCGCGGCGACGGCGCGCACCTCGTGCCCGAGCACCGGGCCCGAAGGCGGGTAGGACGAAACCAGGACGAGGCTAAAATCGGGCGAGGGCAAATCGCCGCCCATAGGCAACCACGACGACGACGACGACGACGACGACGACGACGACGACGACGACGACGACGACGACGACGACGACGACGACGACGACGACGACGACGACGGCTCGACGACGACGACGACGACGACGCCGCCGACGACGACGACGAGGCCGACCGCTGACCGCTGAGACTGACCGCTGACTGGGTGAGGACACATCGAGGATCGCTGAGATCCGGCGGCTCCGTTTCGCAGAAGGCATCTATACACCACCTCCGTGCCAAGGCAGGGCCATCCTGGGCCCCAGGATGGTGTATACGCCCTCCTGGCCGAGGCCAAGAAGGTCTATACACCATCCTGGGGCCCAGAATGGCCCTGGGCTGGCACGGTGGTGGTGTATAGATGCCTTCGTCGGATCAGTAGGATGTCTCGGGCGCCGCGGCCTTCTCAGAGCGATCCGGAAGGCTCTGAGAGCGTTCCGGAACGCTCTGGAACGGACTCTCATCCTCGCCCTATAGCCCCGTCCGAGCGGGGCAGCCGGGCAAGGGCGCGTGCCGTCATCTGGCCCGGAACTGCGGGTCGTTCGGGTTGCACAGCAGGGGCACCTCGCACTTGCCCTCCTTCAGCTCGGGGTGGTACCTGCTCGTGGGCATCGTGGGGAGAGTGGAGGGGGGGAGGAGAGGAGGAGCGCGAGAATGAGGACGAGGGGAATGGAGAGGAGTGCCTGCTCATAAGCAGGTCCGAGTAGTTGAAGGAGATGCGGTTCGTGCACTCTGCGGAGCCCCAGTTCTGGGTGTATCTCTCCTGGGAGGAGGCCGATCGGACCGTCCACCTGCTACTGGCCCAGGCTAGACCAATCCAAGGACCAGGACTGGTGGAAACGATGACTTCATCAGTCCAGTTGCAAGATTGGCCCGACCAGGACCAGTACGGATGGATACCTGGCGCCCCAAGGTCTCCAGGGAGTAGCACAGCTGGCACACGGAGTTCAGGCGGGCGTGCTTCGAGGGACCCTGCCTCGCACGTCTTTCGTCGTCGTCGCCGTCGTAGTCCTCCTCCTCCTCCTCCTCCTCCTCCTCCTCCTCCTCCGCCTCCTCTTTCCCCTCCTCCTCCTCCTCCTCATTTCCTCCTTCCCTCCTCCACTTCCTCTTCCTCCTCCTCCTCCTCCTCCTCCTCCTCCTCCCTCCTCGCCTCCTCCTCCTCCTCCTCCTCCTCCTCCTCCTCCTCCTCCTCCTCCTCCTCCTCCTCCTCCTCCCTCCCCCCCCTCGTCCTCATCCTCCTCCTCCCCTTCCATCCCCTTCCTCCTCCTTCTCCTCCTCCTCCACTTCCTCCTTCTCTTCCTCCACCTCCTCCTCCTTCTGCTCCGCCTCCTTTGCTCATTCTGCTCCTGCTCCTGGTCCAGGTCTTGTCCCAGTTCATGCTGCTACTGGTGCTGGTGTTGGTGCTTGACCTGGCGCTACAGCTGCATCCATTTCTCCTACCCCATACCCGAAAAGAGACGACAAGCAGCAGTTAGACAGGATAGACACAGAAGAAGGAGCAGAAGTAGGAGAATGAGGGAAAACATTAGCAGGAACGGGATGAGGGTGCGGAGGAGGAGGAGGAGGAGGAGGAGGAGGAGGAGTAAATGGGAGAAAAAAGCGGGGGAGGGAGGGCACGGGGAAGTCGAAGCTGATGCGGACAACAAAGAGGAGGAGGTGGTGGAGGAGGAGGACGAAGGAGCGGAAGGATAAGGAAAAGACGATGAGGGTGACGATGAGGAGAGGAAGGCGAAGAGAAAGACGAGGGGAGGATCGGGCGGAGGAAGACATAAGGGGCGAGAGGGGTGAGAGGTCTTCTGCCCCACCAGTCGCTCCTCCTCATGCTCCTCCTTTCTCCCCTGCCCCTCATGCGCTCCTCGTTCCCCTCCCCCGCCGCCTCCCCCACCACGCACCCCCCCCTCCTCCTCACTCTGGCGTTCCCACCCCTCTCCCCCCCTGCCCCTCCAACTCGTCCATCACCTCCCCATCTCCCCCCTTCCCCCCGTCTCCTCATGTCCCGCCTCCTCCGCCTCTTCTCCCTCATGATCCTCCTCCTCCTCCTCCTCCTCCTCCTCCTCCTCCTCCTCCTCCTCCTCCTCCTTCTGCGTCTCCTGCCCTCAAGAGGGCAACAACGAAGACGAAGAGGACGATGACGACGACGATTGCGACGGCGGCGACCGCGATGACAAGGATGGTGGCGGCGACCACGACGACCTCGACGAGGCCTCACCAATCGCTCGTCCTCCCTTTGCATGCGGAGGTTGTAGGTGGGCTTGCCGCCCGGATAGCACGAGCAGTAGTGCCTCGGCCGAGGCAGCGGCCGCCTCGTCCCGACCGCGACGTCGTCGTCGTCGCAGCCGACGACGCCTGCTAAAGGAGGGATAGATGACGATGGTGATGCTGATGAAGAGGATGTTGGAGATGATGAAGCCGATCAGCCTCATCAGCATCGGCAACATCATCGTCACCATCACCATCCGTATTATCATCCCCATCCTCCTCCTCATCATCATGATCATTATCATGCTCAGCATCATGATCATCATCAGCATCATCATCATCCTCGTCCTCCTCATCATCATCAGTATCATCATCATTCTCCTCCTCATCATCATGAACATCAGCATGCTGATCATCATCATCATCATCATCATCAGCATCATCAGCATCATCAGCATCAGCATCATCATCACCATCAGCATCAGCATCAGCATCAGCATCAGCATCAGCATCATCATCATCATCATCATCATCATCATCATCATCATCATCCTCATCCTCATCATCATCATCATCATCATCATAACCATCAGCATCACCATCATTATCATCATTATCATGATCATCATCAGCACCACCACCACCATCATCATCAGCATCATCATCATCGCCATCGTCATCGTAATCGTCCTCTTTATCATCCTCATCCTCATCCTCATCCTCGTCCTCATCATCATCATCCGCATCCTCATCCTCATCCTCATCATCAACGGCATCGCTATTCTGATCATCGTCATCATTATCAGCATCATCAACACCTTCACAGCCGTCATCACCACCAGCACCGTCATCATCGCCATCCCCATCATCACGAGAAGGAGGAGAAGGAGGAGGAGGAACTGAAGGATGGGGGGGAACGGACGATTGAGATGAGGACGAGGAGTAGGATAGGGATGTAGGAGGGAGAAGGCGGCGGAAGAAGGTGCATCGCTGAAGCTATGTGCTTGCACCCTGGCGCCTCCCTGCACGCAGCTGCCCATCAGGAGGAAGAGGAGGAGGGGCACGAGGAGGACCCTCCTCCAGATCCTCCTTCTACTCTCAGGTCGGGCATGTCCTCCTGAAGGCGGATTCTGGAGGACACATAGAAAAATTGTCCAAAGATGATCAAACATAGCCAGGAGTGGTCGACAAATCGTCCCCAGGCTATTCGTTTATACTATTTTTGAATTTTCCTCCTGTAGAGGGACAGGTCCGACATGATTCTCCTCCCCCTCCTACTCCCCCTCCTCCTCCTCCTCCTCCTCCTGCTCCTCCTCCTGCTCCTCCTCCTCCTCATCCTCCTCCTCCTCCTCCTGCTCCTCTTCCTCCTTCTCCTCCTCCTCCTCCTCCTCCTCCTTCTCCTCCCCCCCCGCTGAGGTCTCCTCTGAGGGGGTGCCCGTGGCGAGGCAGGCCGCCGACCCCGCGAGGCGCCTGAAAGCGGAGTCCGCAGGCCCCGTGAGCGGGACGTCCTTGCAGGGGTCGACCGGAGCTCGGGGGCGGCCAAAGAGGGGGGCGTCCCAGAGGAGGAGGAGGAGGAGGAGAGGGGAGGAGGGGAAGGAGGAGGAGGAGGAGGAGGGGGAGGAGGGGGAGGAGGAGGGGGGAGGAGGAGGAGAAGGAGGATGAGGAGGAGGAGGAGGAGGAGGAGACGGAGGAGGGGGGGGGGGGGGGGGGGGGCAGGGACGTGTTGGAGGAAGAGGAGCTCGGGGGCGGCCAAGAGGGGGGCGTCCAAGAGGAGGGCCAGGGGCCCCTCCTGCGAAGGGCTCGGCTCTGGGGCCGCAGCTCCCCCGGCGTTGCTCGCGCCGTGGGAAAAGACCGGGCAGGGGGCTTCTCGTTGCTTGTAGGGCCTCTGGGGGCCCTCGCCAGGTCCTGGGAACGGCAAGAACCGACCCAGGACGAAATCGGGGGCGGCCAAGAGGGGGGCGTCCAAGAGGGGGGGGCGCAAATCATGGCCAGGAGCATGTGCGCGGCCCTTTGGGGGGGGGGGCCAGGGACGCGTTGCGCTGAGAGGAGGCGCCATGAGATGTGGGAAGATGTCATGGCCCCCGCCACGAGATCCACCCACCCCCCTAGTCATCACCATCTCCTTGCCGCCCCCGATGAACCGTGTTCGTCGTTTTCGTGTTGTTTTCGTTGTCCCTCGTCTTGCCTCCGCTCAGCCCTTGCTGCAAAACATGGGGCGCACAGAGGCACACTAATACTATATGTCCTCCTTGGAGGCGCGCGTCCGACCCGAACATATAGTATGCCCATCTTGTAGTATATCGTTTCCCGAGCGGTGTGGCCAGAAAGCGCCCGCCACGACGCATACACTATAAGATTTCTCGGTGCGCGCGTCGACCCTGGGGGGGCGACGCACATATAGTGTATGTTGGGGTGACGCCGAAAAACAACTTCGAAACGAAAACGGCCCGCGAGATCGCCCAAACACCGCTGAGGTCGACCCCTGCGTCCTTGTCCTTGTCCATCTGGGCCGTCTCCTCCCACGGCTCGATGCGCCATCCCCTGGCCGCGAGCGCGAACTGCATGGCGAAGTCCGAGGAGAAGATCTCCTTGGCAGGAGAGCCCAGAATCGAATCGATAAGTCGGATCGGCGATCGAAATGAATCGGATCGGCGGAAAAGGTCGAATCGGCGGCCACGTCGGAAAAAGGTCGAATCGGCGAAAAAAACTGCAGGCTGGTGTGCGTCCAATGAGACATCAGAACCCAGATCGGCATCCCGATGCGAGTCGAACCGGCATCGGAAAATGCATCGAAACCGCATTGGACCGAAACGGGGAAATCGGAACGAGCCCTGCCTTGGTGCCCCTGTCGCCCAGGTAGTTCCAGTCCAGCCGCATCATGTTCTCGTC